TATACTAATAAATGTTGGAGACAGAAGATAGAAGAAATATCCTACCACATGGGGTAGATGTACAACATCAGCCCCAAAGTATTAAAACAATATATATGATACTATTTTGAGAATCTTTAAAATCGAACTTGAAATAAAACCACAATTATTTTTACTATATATTATTTTAGAACATATCAATAAAAACATCATAATTTATTAAGATATAAGCTCCTGGGGGTGAGGACAAATTTTGCACCACATTGGAAAAAAGTGCCAATATCTGACTGAGAACATAAACATGATGAATATGATGAACTTCTATTAAAATCCAAAAATTATTTTTAATTATTTATTGTTTTATCATAGAAAATACAAAAATACAAAACAATAAAACAAACAAAATGAAACAAAACAAAATCATACATTCAACCCTAACAACAACAAAGAAAAAAATAGTGTACAAAGAGAAGGAAAAAAATGGTCAATTAAATTTAACATTTAACATGTAGGATCCACCCTGGCTGAAAGAAAAGAAAAAGCAGTTAATTCCCCATCCCTTTTATATATAAAAAGAAGAAAGAAGAAAAAGTAGTAAATACGTTGAGCTAAACTTTACACTAATCTTCATCTCCCTCTTTTAACAATCTGCTATTATATTTAGCACGTAGAAAGCCCACAAATGGTTTCCACTCTCTTATAAAGCTGTCTAGTCCATTATCTCTAATCAAAGTAGTTAATTTCCCATCTCTGCTAATTCAGCCAATTTTAAAATCCATTCTTCAATGGTTGGCATCTCCTTTTCATTCCAGTGTTTGAAGCCACCACTATGTGCAAAGAATAGCATCCTAAATTGTTTTTCAATTGGCTTGTCCATCATACCTAACAGAAAAGCTTCAGGTTTAATTAATATTTGTATCTTAAATATTTTTTGCATCATCGTTATGTTTTTACAGTATGTTTTCACCACATCTGATAAAATGAACCTGGATTTTGACTATATTTCCAGCACTTATTAGAAATTAGAATACTTTTTTGTTATAGTATCTGTGGTCAAGTACCAATAATATGTAATTTTATAAAAAAAATTCTTTCAAACTATAATCTAATCTAAATTTTAGTTCATCCATCCATATATTCTCCCATTTATCTAGCTTTATATTATACCCAAATTTTCTTGCCCATTTCACCATACACTCTTTAAAGCAGTAGTCACCAATCAGTGGTCTGTGGACCATTGCTGGCCCATGAGAAAATTTTGGTGGTCTGCAGAAAAATCTTGATTTTTAAAATATTTTTTATGCCACTGCCCAGGAGAAGAGTGCACTGGAACCCAAACACTGGGCCTTGCTGGCCTCAGAAGCCAGGGATCATGCAGGTATCCTGCCAATGTAAAGGCCACCCAAATTCCCGGGTTATTTGCAACTCAAGTGAACTGCACAACTATTCCACCCACTTGCCCGCCCACTGCATCTGGGCCTACCAGGCAGCATCCTCCCAAACCAAGTGGCTTTATCATTGGAGGTTTTAAGAAGAGATTAGACAGTCACTTGTCTAAAATGGTAGTCTCCTCCTTGAGCGGGGTGGTGGTGAAGACCTCCAAAGTCCCTTTTAGCTCTATTCTAATTGATTGATTGATGTCTTTATTCAATCTTTAGACTAGTCAATTACTTAAGGGAAGTGTGTTGTGTCTTCTTAAACATATGATAGATAGGCTTGCTAAAATAATCAAGCCTACCAATTATTATATATTTTTCCTCTTCCATGTTGGCGTGAATGCTACAACTAACAGCCTGAAATCAATTTAAAAAACAATGAACAACAGACCTATCTCTTCAGATTATTTTCTCATCCATACTCCAGATGATAGGTACTGAGAGAACAGAAGATTTTAGGAGTAAACAGCTGGCTCAAATATATGGTGCTATGCTTAGAACCTTGTTTTTCTAGATCATGGATTACACTACACACAGGAACTGTGACTCGCACCTCATGAAGACTGGAAAGATTGTATTTGGGAATCAACTCACTTAGCTTATGATCTGAAAGGTTTTAAACTAAAACTGGAATAGAATAGAATAGAATAGAATAGAATAGAATAGAATAGAATAGAATAGAATAGAATAGAATAGAATAGAATACTTTATTGGCCAAGTGTGATTGGACACACAAGGAATTTGTCTTGGTGTAAATATTCTCAGTATACATAAAGAAAAGATACATTAAGAATCAAGAATCATAACATACAACACTTAATGATAGTCATAGGGTACAATCAACAATCAAATCATACTAGGAAACAGTCAATATAAATCATAAGGATACAAGCAACAAAGTTACAGTCCTACAATCACAAGTGGGAGGGGATGGATGATAAGGAGTAATGAGAAGATTAACAGTAATAGTAGTGCACACTTTGTAAATAGTTGAACAGTGTTGAGGGAATTATTTGTTTAGCAGAGTGATGGCGTTCGGGAAAAAACTGTCCTTGTGTCTAGTTGTTCTGATGTGCAGTGCTCTATAGCATCGTTTTGAGGGAAGGAGTTGAAACAGTTTATGTCCGGGATGTGAAGGGTCTGTAAAAATTTTCACAGCCCTCTTTTTGACTTGTGCAAACTAAAACAGGAGGAGGAAAGATACTAATTTATAGGACTAATCATAAAGTGTAAATTTCAACACAAATCATAATGAGAAAGGGAGTGGTGAAGAAGGGGCAACTACAAATTAGGAGATATAGGAAGCAAAAGTAGGGTGAATTGTAATTGCTTTTAGAAAAATGCTCTTAGCATGGGCAAACAGAGAGTCTGAAATCCTAATACTTGAGGGTAAAGTACTAGGAAGTTATCGCCCCTCTCCTAGAAAAATGAAATATACTAGGAAATATTAAAAAGGCAGAATATTTCCCCTAAAAAGAATAGAAACTCAGAAGCAGAAACTCACCTCAGAAACAGAAACTCAGCTCCCCCCACCTGTGCTAATGGGCCATTACTCTGGCCTAGGCCAGTCTATTTTACATAACAAAGATCTCCAGTTAGAGCTATAATAGGAATTTATTTTTTTATTTATTTTATTTATTTGATTTGCCAATTGTTTACAAGATAATAAGTATAAGTGTATACATAGTTGTGAATACATGAAATGGGTACATATAAGAAAAATAAAAGAAGAATAAGAGAAACAATAGAACAGGGACGGTAGGCACGTTGGTGCGCTTATGCACGCCCCCTACAGACCTCTTAGGAAAGGGGTGAGGTCAATAGTAGACAGTCTAAGGTTAAAGTTTTTGGGGTTTGGGGAAGAAACTACAGAGTCGGGTAGAGTATTCCAGACATTGACCACTCTATTGCTGAAGTTGTATTTCCTGCAATCAAGTTTGGTGCGGTTAACTTTGAGTTTGTATCTATTGTGTGCTCTTGTGTTGTTATGGTTGAAGCTCAAGTATTCATTGACAGGTAGGACATTGCAATGTATGATTTTATATACCATGCTTAAATCAGACCGAAGACGGCATAATTCAAGGTTTTCTAGTTCTAGAATTTCAAGTCTGGTGGCATAAGGTATTCTACAACGAGTAGAGGAGTGGAGAACTCTTCTTGTGAAATATTTCTGGACTTTCTCAATTGTGCTAATATCAGATACGTAATGTGGGTTCCAGACTGATGAACTATATTCGAGTATTGGTCTAGCAAATGTTTTGTATGCTCTGGTTAGTAGTGTGATATTACCAGAGAAAAAGCTACGTAGGATTAGGTTAACAACTCTTAATGCCCAAAGCCCTTTCATTACATCATCATCCAGCAAGGCTCAACCAAGCCTGGGACTCAGGACATCCTACCTTTGCCCCTGCATGGCCCCATGGGAGTCTGACAACCAATAAGAATACAAGTTAAAATTCAAATCCCAACAGAGGGTATAAGCCTATCAGCCCTTCCTTCTTTTCCTTCACCTTGAAGCACGATTTACTTTTTTACTTTGGAGCTCCAAACCATGTGGTTTTGTCCACCATTAAACCATCTTTCCAAACAGCCTCCATGTTTCCAGCGTCTTTTTCCCGACTTGGAACTGAACCCAGAAGAACATTTTTTCCAACAGTACAATATTGTAGCTATTTGAAACTTGGTGGGATGATACTCTGATTGGAACATACAAATAGAAGGATATTAAACCTTCTTCTTGTTCCATACAATTGGTTTCTATTGTCCTTCTTTTGACAAGGATTTTCAGTTTTTACCATAATACCTTAACCACTAAATTGTTTAGCCCAGTTGTACAGATTTATAAACTGGTGACCGGGTAAACTTGCTTTATACAGTACCTACATTCTTAACTTTTATTGCTGTCTTATACAGCATTCTGTTGCAATGGTGCTTTATTCTGGTTTTCCTTAAGTTGGTTTTATTTATTTATAGCTACCCATTTCAGTCAAGGACTCTGTTTAGCTTGGAATACAAAAATTATTACCCTAGGTTCTTTTCCTGTTCCCTAGATTATTTATATCTTTTAGATATTTTAAATTTTATTTTTTACTTATCCTATAATTTTTGTATAGCTTTAACAATATTTTTTATCTCCTGCTTTGTTGAAAAACATGGAATTTGGTTTCCTTTAGTTTTAATGGGTCTCTGACCATTTAATAAAATTGTTATGGTTATAAATTGCCTATGACTTTAATGAATAACGAAAAACAGGAGAAGAAAGTTATTATAGAGCACTTTACAAACTTTCGTTAATGTAGAGCACGTACTCGGTCTCTTTTTCTGGGGCAAGAACGCCCACGCTGCAATTAAGTATTTCATTTGGGCCTTTCCTCTGACGTCGAACTCGAGGTTCGTTCTATCCTTTTTTTCAGCTATAGCCAGTAAAGGAGAAGGTGGGCGGAATGCGGTCGGAGCCTCGTGACGGAATTGCCCAATCATGAAATGACCTTGCTTTGTAAGATAAATTACTTCGTATGAGTGTCTGGGAAAGAGGAAGGGGTTACCATCCTGTCTGTCGCGCAGAAGGGAGTTTCTGAAAAAGTGGGAGGGTTTTGGATGCGGCGCTAGAGGGTTGTTTGTTTCTACGAGCTGCTTGCGAGGGGAGGAGAAGGTTGTGGTATTTGGACGGGACAATGGCGGCGCTAGCAGTCTCTTTTTGGAGATTGTTACAGGCCTTCCTTGCAAGTTTTTCCTGTTCAGTTGCTTTGACGATGACAACTGCAACTGGGTTGCTTCTTTTCCTTCTTCCTGAAGCAGCAACGGGTGAGTCGCGTATGATACTTAAAATGAGCCAGGTTGAGAGCAACTGGGCCGGTCCAGTCTGTTCCCTTTAAGGAACATGGCGCTTCAGCAGCCGCCCAGGATTAAGAGCGTCGGGGAGCAGGGTGTTATGAGATGGTCGAAAGAGGGGAGGGTGCGGGTTTCACGGGCAAGGAACCGCTACGGCAGCAGACTGGACAATAGCTGCTCAAAGCAATTTAGCGGCTTTCTTTAAGCATCATTAAAGCGGATGGAGTAACAGTCTTTTCCTTCTATCATTCCATTCTCTGTTCGAAGCAGGCGAACAAACAAAAGGTCATCGACAAGAGCTCGCCGTCTCCGTTTACTTAGAAAATGAATCCCATAAAATGAAAATTTAGAATGCTCCTTTTCTAGAGTATGGACGCAATGCATCGTATCAATGTTTTGTGTTTGCGCAGTTCATCATGGAACATTACTGTTATATTCGTAGAAACTCTACCATCTGGAATAAATTTTGTGCAGGCAAGGAAAGCCCCGAATTTCTCCCTGTATCTTCTCCTTCTCTTAGTCTTGCAGGATGGACAGATTATATTCGTTTATAAATATAGACGTACGTACTTCCTATCTGAGGACCGACTTTGGGGAATTATAGAGTTTGAGTTTGATTTCTTTATCAATTCACTGCCAAAGTTGTTAGATATCTGGCACTAAACATTGCCTTTGCTGCTCCTTGCAATGTGTAATACATTTCCTCAAAGTGTTACAAAAATTAGTGGTATCTCTAATCTGTATCACATTTTATTTGTTTATTGAATTCATACTCCATCCACCTCAATGACAAGACTGATTTCAATATTTATATTAATTCCCCCACACTTGGCAATTTAACAATTTATCAGTTGTTCCATATATAGTTGTTAATGCAGAAAGCTTGCAAGATGATAATGTTATTTTATTAGACAATGGTAAGTTTTTATTTTAGTTAAGTTTAGTTTTTACATTAAATGAATATTATTTAGCCATTTAGTTGGGTCTGAGTCTTTATAGACAAGGGCTCTCCATGCTATCTTGTCAAACACAGTTTTTTTTTCAATTGTTGGATGGTCAACTTTGAATCAGATTTGATTCTATCAAGCCATCACTTTGCTTGCTTGCTTCTTCCACTTGTTCCACTAACCATTCATAGCATCATTGCCTTCTCCAATGAATTTGCAGGCATGGCATGGCCAAAGTAAATGATGTTAGTCTTATGATTTTCACTTCTAGCTTATTCTGGCTTTCTATGGTATATATGATAGTTTATGATCAGCACCACAGTTCAAAGGTGTTACTTTTTTTTTTTTTATCAGCCATTCTTAGTGTCCTATTCTCATACCCATACGTCATTTTGGGAAGACTATTGCTGTAATTAGCCTGCTTTTTGTATTTATATAAATATGTTTTTCCAGATTTTATTCATGTTAACCATTGTAGTGCCTAAGGTTAACCTGCGTTTGATTTAATGAATAGAACTATTCTGAACAATTTTGAATCCAAGGAAGATAAATTGTCGAACTAATTTAATTCCCTCGTTGATTTTAAACATCTTATGTCCATCTGCAGCTGTTGTCATTATCCTGATATTAAGATTAATTATTCTAATTATTCTGCATTCTAATTATATAGAATATCCTTAAAGAATACTAAGCATCATCAATAAAGTTTGAGTTCTTTTTCAATTTTTTAATATATATTTGAAGGAGAATGAATATTTGGCTAAGTATTGGATTTACTGACACTGCTCTTCAGTTTTTCTCTTTTATGATAACTACACAAATCTAATATAAAATCACTGTTCCTATACATCTGTATAATGCATCCTCAAATCAATTTCAGCTGTCTATAGTATGAAAACTACTTTAACTTTTACAATTAACGTTAAACATTAAATCAATTTGGATGCTGCAATTTGATATAGAAAAAAATAAAAATTGTAATTCATCTCTTCAAAGTGCCATCATTTATAAAAAAAATAAATTTGAAACATAGTTTCTTAAGAGCTCTATGATCTTAATGTCACAAATATTTGCCTGATATCATAGTTTATAACCATCTCTTAAATTTTTATTACAATGGTAACAAAATTTTTGGCTTCAAGAATGAATATAATATTGTCAAGAAAATTGATCCTTGATTTTAATTGATACAGGAAAAGGAAAATTAAAAGAAAAAGGGGACAGAGCAGGAAAAAAGCAAAATTGGGAATGCAAACAAAAAAAGGTACAGAAAAGAGTAACTTCACTTTTGGTACAGATAAAAGTATAAAATACAATGAATCTTTGAAGTACCATGGATTTTAGCATATAATAATTCTATAATTATTAAATTCCAATATTAAAGTTTTGATTTTTTTTTCCAGTTCCAAGCAAACAAATCAAAAAGTGTTTTTAGGTAGAAACTAAGTTAGTGTTTTTTCATCAATGCAGTCGATTTTGCCATCTCCATCAACTTTATTAATTTCATCATCTGTTCTTCCATTGTACACCTTGTGAGTCCTTTCATCTCTGTATATAAAGAAGCCTTCCTGCTATTGTCATATATAAGTAGAAAATTCCTTTTTTTTTTTTTTCAAATTATCCCACAAACCTAAAAAAAAACAACCCTGGCTTGGAGGATTGTCTGAATTAAAACACATACCTGATTCCAATATTTTAAAGGGAAAATGCTATTTTAGTGGGAATTACAATTGTTGGGAGAATCAGTAAAAGAAACACCTTAAAAGTTTCAGAAAATATTATAAGGAGAAAGCTGGTGAGAAATTAAGTTTTATTTCCTGGAATTTAATTTTAATTTGTATCCAACATATACAGGGGGGCAAGCAATAAAAAGGTACAATAATTACAACTGGAACTTAAGGGACAGGTCCTGATTATGAAGACAAAGGCTTGTAAAGGATAATAACATGCTGTAACATTTTTGTATAGAATGAATTTTCTGAGTTTCTTTGGATAAATCATTGAGCTTTTGATGATTACGATAGACTCCTTCAAACTACTCTTGAAAACCTCCAGCAATATGTAACTTCTGCAACTCTGGAAGGCAAGTTATTCCATTGATGCATAGTTCTTGCTATCAGTAAATTTTCTCTTTAGTTCTAGGTTGAATCCCTCTTTAACAAGCTTCCACTCATTGCTTCTTGTCCTGCCATCAGGTGCTTTGGAGAATAAGCTGATCCCCTTTTCTCTATGATGGCCCTTTAAGTACTGGAAGACAGGTATCAACCCACCTTAATTCTTTTGTGATAGGCTAGTGTCATAACTAGCTCTCTCAGCTGTTCATTATAATGTATCTTCCAAGCCCCTTATCATCTTCGTTGCTTTGTTCTGCACACTTTCTAGGGTCTCTGTCAGTGTATAAGAAATTATGAGCTGTGATAGCCATAATAAGTCAGCCAGTGGGAACTGTTTGGTGGCTAAGAAACAGCACCTATTTTGAGCAGAGGTGGTATTCAGCCAGTTCGCACCGACTCGGGTGAACCGGTAGCAAGAATTTCATGTGGGTCATCGAACCGGTAGCAACATCTAGCTGGCTACGCCCCCAACCCGGTTGCCCGGTTTCTGCTCACTCGCTTGCCCCGCCCGCCCTGCTCGCCCCAGTTTAAAGGAGGACTGCTCCCCCGCCCTAGCCATGCATTTTCAAGCAGCCACTTGAAAACACATGACTGGGCGGAGCAGTGGTCCGTTAACCTGCAAAACTTCCAAGGTTGGATTCTTCATGGACACTAGAAGTATCGCTTCCCCTTGTGAGTAAAGTGCCTGGAGCGAGAGGAAAAGAACACTGGAGGTGGGAATCCAGCCATGGGGAAGTTTGCAGCAGCTGCGAATGCAAGTCCGTTAACCTGCAGAAATTCTCCAATGCTGGATTCACTTCCCCTTGTGAGTAAGGTGCCTGGAGTGAGAGGGAATGAAGGCTGACGGGTGTGTGTGTGTGAGAGAGAGAGAGAGAGAGAGAAGAAAGAAAGAAAGAAAGAAAAAGAAAGAAAGAAAGAAAGAAAGAAAGAAAGAGAAAGAAAGAAAGAAAGAAAGAAAGAAAGAAAGAAAGAAAGAAAGAAAGAAAGAAAGAAAGAAAGAAGAAAAGAAAGAAAGAGGAAGGGAGAGAAAGAGGAAGAAAAAAAAAAGAAATAGGGAGAGAGAGTTTGTGTGGTATGTGTGTGAGAGAGAGAAAGAAAGGAAGAGAGACAGAAAGAGACAGAGAAAGAAAGAAAAAGAAATAGGAAGGATGGGAGAGAGAGAGAAAACTCTGTGCTATTATTTTTAATTGTTCCATTATTTATCATGTGTTAATATTTTACACTGTCCCTACACCTAGAGTGATTCTACTGCCTTTCTTTTGCCCGGGGCTACCACATATTTTTCAGGGTTTACATGTATTCAATGTCTATAGTCCAGAGCATAAATACATGTGTGTTTAACAGAGTTGAAAGGGAGTTTGGAGGTCTTCTAGTCCAAGCCCCTGCTCAGGCAGGAAAACTCAGGATACCAAACTCTGAGTAGAGGTCCTGGGAAAGGTGTTAGAATAACACTTAGAAGAGACTTTGGGGGGAGCCCTATACCATTGCAGAGAAATGTCTTTTAAAAATTTCCAGTGATTGATCACCCAGAACTTCTGGGGACAAGCAGGTCCACTGGTTAATTGTTCTCACTGTCAGAAAGTTTCTCCTTAGTTTTAGGTTGCTTTTCTCTTTGTTCAGTTTTCATCCACTGCTTCTTGTCTGCCTTTTGGTGCTTTGGAAAATACATTGCCCCCCCTTTCTTTCTGGCAGCCCCTTAAAATCCTGTTGCCTGTCACACACTCGGGCAAAGCGTGTGAGCCATTTTCTCCTGTCAGTGGTCCATGAAAGTACATCTATAGTATGTATATAATAAAGTCAAAAAAAGGTGAACAACATTTTTACAGAACTATGGATAAGTTGAGGCTGGGTGTGACAAGGAATGGCTGGGAAGGCAGCCCTCGACGTGAATGACATCAAGTTGGCCACATCC